AAACCAAGGCGCAACTTTTAGAGCTGAAAAGTGTTAAAGGGGCAAGAGGCAAAAACTGTAGTTCCTCTAGGTACCAACTGAGGATGGCTCCAAATATGCTATAAAGTCCTGCTTTATAGCATATTTGCCTCCATGGATAGTTTCCCCTTTATAACGACTCTGACTGAGAGGTTTTTTTTAATAACTCACCAGCCTAGATAAACAGTACGTTTAGGTCTGTTAGGCCTCATCCACCACTTTGACCCAAACATACTTTTTGTGTGTGTTTGCAGTCAGTGCCCTTTGGAGCATTTTTAATTTATTATCTGACAAAAAATTGGTCTTGCTTTGTAGTACAGACCATCTGAGACATATGTGCTTCAATTTTGGTGAGTGTAATGCTGTAATTTTTATTAGCATTGATTAACCTGCCCATGTGTTGTATCAAATCAAATCACTTTTATTGTCACATCACATGTGCAGGTACATTGGTACAGCACATGTGAGTGAAATTCTTGTGTGCGAGCTTCACAAGCAACAGAGTTGTGCAAAATACAATAATGGCTACATCTGAAACTAATAAATATATGTACAATATATAATAGTATATGCATTTCTGGATGTGTATACTAAATATTTTTCTACGTGTGTGTGTGTGTGTGTGTGTGTGTGTGTATACACATATTTTACAAATTAAATAGAGTAAACAATAAATAAAATATATAAAAATATACAGAGTTGAGACATGTGCAAAACAGTGGCATTACTGTACAGTATGGAGTGCATAATGTTAAAGTTCCAGTAGTGAAGCTGAGGTGTCTATGACGTGTTCAGCAGTCTGATGGCCTGGTGGAAGAAGCTGTCTCTCAGTCTGCTGGTACGGGACCGGATGCTGCAGAACCTCCTTCCTGATGGAAGCAGTCTGAACAGTTTATGGCTGGGGTGACTGGAGTCCTTGATGATCCTCCCCGCTTTCCTCAGGCAGCGCTTCCTGTAGATGTCTTGGAGGGAGGGAAGCTCACCTCCAATTATCCGTTCAGAGCACCGCACTACTCGCTGGAGAGCTTTGCAGTTGTAGGCGGTGCTGTTGCCATACCAGGTGGTGATGCATCCAGTGAGGATGCTCTCAATGGCACAGTGATAGAAGGTCCTGAGGATGCGGGGGCTCATGCCGAATCTTTTCAGTCTCCTGAGAAAGAAGAGGCGCTGCTGCGCCTTCTTCACTGTTTTGTTTGTGTGTACTGACCACGTAAGATCCTCAGCCAGATGTACACCAAGGAACCGGAAGCTGCTCACTCTCTCCACAGCAGCGCCGTTGATGGTGATGGGGGTGTGTACTTCTCTGCACCTCCGGAAGTCCACTATCAACTCCTTTGTCTTTGCGACGTTGAGGGTGAGATGGTTGTCTTGACACCAGTGGGTCAGGGCGCTGACCTCCTCCCTGTAAGCCGTCTCATCACCATTGGTGATAAGACCCACCACTGTAGTGTCGTCCGCAAACTTCACAATGATGTTGGAGTTGTTAGTGGCTGTGCAGTCGTAGGTGTAGAGTGAGTACAGGAGAGGGCTCAGTACACACCCCTGTGGAGCACCAGTGTTCAGTGTGATGGGGGATGAGGTGATGCTGCCCAGTCTGACCACTTGGCGTCTGTCAGACAGGAAGCTAAGGATCCAGCTGCAGAGGGAGCTGCTCAGTCCTAGATCCTGCAGTTTCCTGTCCAGCTTCGAGGGAACGATGGTATTGAATGCTGAGCTGTAATCTACAAACAGCATTCTCACATACGTGTCTCTCTTCTCCAGGTGTGACAGGGCAGTGTGTAGTGTCAGGGCTATGGCATCATCAGTGGACCTGTTGTGGCGGTATGCGAACTGTAGAGGGTCCAGTGAGTCGGGTAGTGCAGAGCAGATGAAGTCCCTGACCAGCTTCTCGAAGCATTTGCTTACGATGGGGGTCAGGGCTACAGGTCGCCAGTCGTTCAATGACTAGATGGTGGAGGATTTGGGTACAGGGACGACGGTGGCCATTTTGAAGCAGGCTGGGACTACAGACAGAGAGAGGGAAAGGTTGAAGATGTGTGTGAACACTCCAGCCAGCTGAGCCGCGCATGACTTGAGGACGCGGCCGGGAATCCCGTCCGGACCAGTAGCTTTGTACTGATACAGTTTATGAATAGTTAGCTTTCTACCCAAGCTAACTATTGTAGCATTAGCTGATAAAGTAGAGATTAGATTAGATTAGATGAAACTTTATTAATCCCTCAGGTGGGTTCCTCTGGGAAATTCAGTTTCCAGTAGCAAAGCACTGTAGTACTCTTGTAGTACTCTTGAGAGCAACTGTCTGAACTCGGATGATAAAACATGCTTAGGATGGTTAGGATAAAGGAGGCAAAATACATCCTTAACATTCCTGACCACGTTTTGCCATCTGAGTTCAGGAAGTTGCTCTCAGGTTGCTGCTAACTTGAACCCCAGTGTAGAACAAATATAATAGGTTGTTTGGGTAAGCTGCAAACAAATAGTCCTTCTGTGGGATTAGTAAAGATATCTTAATGTGAAAGTCCACCCTTTAATTCATATTGAGATTGTAGAATACTATGTGTAGATACCACAGTAGCAAACCGGTGTTTGGAATCAGTACACATCCTTATCTGTCTGGCCACTGATTCTCATCGACTTAACCATTAGCTGCACTCTTCTGCTCTGTTGTGGTTCTCTTGCTGCATTGCCACACATCCTTTGCCTCTTTTATGGATGGTGAAACAGGCTCCTCCATGGTAACAAAGTACATTTAAGTCTTATAAATATGTTCACACAACTTTTATGATGTGCGCTTGCGAGTTTTGTGGATTTTCACACCTAAATTGGCTTTTATATGTGTGAATATGAGCATACTTTGGTGATATAAAAAATCTATTCAACAAAGAAGAAATATAGTTTAATCAAAGACAGAAATAATAGGCTAATTACTTTATATCAGCAGCTCTGAGCAGACAGATTGTAGACAATTATGCTTACCCATTTGCCTAAATGTGCAAAGCAATTTGCAATTTTTGCTACAGAATTAAAAATGTCCTGAAAACTTCAACTGTCAAAGTGGAAAAAAAAACAAACCCTAATAACCTAATCAAATTTTTCCACTGCTCTTCATCTCCCTCTCTGTAGGGTGCAGATTGAAAACCCTTATAAGTCGACACAGGTGATGAAAATGTTGGCTTTCAAGGTGACACTAGCTTTGAATTTTCACCACCACGTCAGGTGTTATAGCAGTCATATCTGGTTGTAGCGAGAGTGCTTAAACCGAAAGCCAACTGATGAAAATGTAAAATAAATAAATCTCAACTAGCAACCTCAGACCGATGCCTGTTTGCTTGTTTGTATTTGTGCAGGTGCGCGTGTGTGTGCATGTGTGTGTCTGAAGAGACCAGAGGAAAAGATGAATAAGAGAGTGCATTTACTGTGAGAGAAGCAATACATTCTACTCAAAGATACATGCCAACTGGGCGAGGGTGGAGGTGTGGGTCTCTGCAAATGCACATCCTAACAAATACTTAAAAAAGCACACACATAAATAAACACACAGTGTGCACGTGCAAGATACATTTCAGCGCAGTGTGGAGCCTGTTATTAGAGAAATTTCCTATTTCTCTTGCCGCTATTGCACGCTAATAAACAGAATCATTAGGGCATGTTTTGGTGGGTTGGTGAGTGGCGGAGTTGCTCCATTACTGGGAAACCCACAGACTCTGACTGCCTTTTAAAATGACGGCAGAGAAACAGGCTCCATTAATGGCGGCAATCAAAGCTTCATCCCCACCACTAGCAAGCCTGTCACGTAGCTAATTCAATCTCACAACCCATGAAGCAATTAATTCATGTCAATACAAATACACAAACAGCTTTTTTTTCTTCTTGCCCCATAAGAAAAGTGGAGGTCTTAAGACTGAGCTTCTGTTTATTTGCACACCTTTGTGACGGTGTGTGATCATGCTCGGTGAAGTGTACGAGGAAGAGCAGGTGTAATTGGGTGTGGAAAAAAAGAAACCTTGTGGTCTCCCAGCTAAATGAGATCCGACAATCGTTTCCTCTGCATTTTCTCCCCTGACAACGGGCACGTTGTCCCCCTCCCCTCCCTTCTCAGGTTTGTCATTATTGCTCCATGACATAAGCAACGCACATGAAGGGATAATAAAACCAGCCTCCATTTGATAACACAGGAGCTTGTATCTGACTATGCCCACGCCTAACTAACTTAAATCAATTTAGCTGCAGACACTAAAACGCTCACAACAAAAGAGAATCTCTAAAGGGGTTTAAGTGCTCTGGGGCTTTGACAGGAGGCAATGGCTTAGTAAATGTTGGAAGATCAAAAGTTAAACCAATTAGAGAATACCAAACTAGATGTTATCATCTAGATAGCAACCAGAGGCTAAATGAGTTTGTCAGAGTCAATGTCTCAGTGTTTTGTTTGAGTCAATATTTCAATTATGCTCTAAGAAAGCATTCTTGGCTTGATGAAGCAGCTCAGGGAGAAACTGGGTGTGAAGTGAAATGCGTCACACGGTGTGTCTGAAAAGTAATGTGAGAAAGGAACACGAGTGATGGAGAGACAAAGCCTTTCAGATTCAGGTTAGGAGTTGATCAAAGTGGGTTCTAGCTCATCTGAGACTACAGGCATGAAGCTAGTGTGCATTTAAATGCATTTGTGGAGAAGCAGAGACCCTAAAGAGCTCTCCTGCTCCATCACCCCCTCTTGTTTCCAAACCTCCCATTCCCAGCACTTTCTGAATGTGTTGCTTCTTTGAATTTTAATGGAAAAAGATTCTCCACTTCCCGATTTCCCTCTTTAGGGCATTTCATCTTGTTTCCTGTCTCTATCTATCAGAAAAAGGAAAAGTCTCACATGCCTGTAAGGTTTTCTGATAATGGTGACTTGGTTGACTGATGATCTTCATATGTTTCTAGAGTTTTGCAAGAGATAAAAACAATTGCTCTTAAAGTGGAGATATGAATGTCATTATCTGCATCCAATCTAAGAAACAAGCAGTTTATTTATAGATTTAAGACAAAAATAGACAAATAAAAACAAGTGAAAACATCAGATAGCCAGACTCCTGTGTGCTGTTATACTAGGAAAAAAGAAAAAAGCGCTTTCAGTTTTTTCAATAGACTGTTGACACACCAACATTTCCCTTGGGAAGGTATACGCTCAGTGCATCTTAGTGTAGTGCTACAGTGGTGAAGTCATGTTGTTGTCAAACTTGTCCCACATATTATGGGTGACACAGCTTTCAATTGTGGATTTAAGGCAACAGAATCAATCACATTAAAAACAAACTGCTGATACAGACAGACATGGCAGTACATCATAAATGAAAGGTATGGATGAGCAGGTCAAGGTAGGAGGTGCATACACTTGTCTGGACTGTAATCTGTCACTCGGTGCAGATTGGCCAGGAGTAATGAGCCTTTACATTACAGTACATAAAAGGTGATAACTGCTGGAGAGCTGTTTTGCGCAAAATGTGGTTCAATTTTCACCTAACAAAGAGTCAGCAACATTCACCGATCGATAGATGTCAAAATGTCCCCCCACCTTTGATAATGAATCTGACAAGCACATGAGGAAGTGGCACAAATCTACAAGCCTTCTGAGACAGGGTAGGGCAGAGGATGTGGGGAAAAGAGAAGGTGAAAGCAACAGGATGATATAAAGCACATATGACAGTTTCCTTTCCCCCCCCCCCTTTTATACAATCAACATAAAACACCCAGAACAATAAATTCTCTTGACAATCTAAGGCATTGTGGCATCTGAGAAATGCTCCCTTTTTATATCTGAGAGTGTCCAGAGGGTTTGTCAAGACAGCAGAGCCAAAATGATATTGCAAATAAATGAAGAGTGAAGTGCACCGTGTCAAAGAATTTCCTATTGCTGACATCAGTTTGGGCTTAACATATGCTTTGCTCGGCTGCCTACCCAGGCTACCGTCTAAGTCAGCCAGGCTCACCAGTAAGCCAAGGATCTGACTGGCTGTGAAAATTGAGCCTGATGGTAATTGATTGCACATAACTTGCGTGCTTCAATTAAAGAAAGTTAGTAGCTAGTGAGGAATTAGAAAAGTTTGAGTAGAAAAGATGTGGCTATCCATATTTGTCACAGTAGCTTTCTTCAAGGTCACTTTACTGCCAGCAGGCACTGAAAGGGGAGGGCGAGGTCCCAGGGAGATGGCTGACAGAGAGAGGGCCAGCCTGACAGCTCAAGCGAGCTGATGGCTGGCTGAAGCAGACAGTGAAGGACAGGTGGACGTAATAAGAGTCTGATCTTCTTGTATCAGGGGGCGTGGTCCATTGATGGTCCAGAATCATTGTCTTCAAAGTCCCGTGGGTTCATGGGCTCTGCTCGTGGCTCAGGCAGCCTAGATGACAGAAAAACACACATGTTATATCATATCCAGTCTTCCAGCTTTTCCTCTCTTTTATCTTTTTCCGCAAACATCTGAAAGCTGTCACACAAACAGCACCGTGCCACCCACACAGTTCAACACTCACGCATATTATGGAAATATAATAAACCTTTTGTGAAATGTAATCAGCTTCAATCAAGCTACGCCTTAAGTAGAAATCATCCATTCTGTCGGTTTTATATCAGCAGCTCTGAGCTGACAGAGACAAAGTGATAGCTAAATTGCAGGGACCTGTTGTAATTTGAGCCTGGCTGATAGATTCAATTTCACTGGAGACAGTCTACACTAATCATATGCTCTAATTGGACAATGTCGAAAGGGTGACGGAGCACTGGTGATGCCAGATAAGCAACTCTCCTGTAACTTCTCTCCCACCCCATCTTTCTCATTATGATTTTCCATCTAAATCTACAGGCCAACATCCATTTTTAAAAGACTACATGTCAGCATCTTTTTCTAAACACACACACATACACACATTTATTCACAGTATGTGGAAGCTATTTAATTCACAGAGATTCAGTGCACTTTAGGGCTATGCCATTTAATCTCGCCGTTCAAATACATCAATTCAAAGCAATCGCTTTCTATGACCTTGGGCAGGTAGTTTGCATTTATATATGTGAATTTACACTCATCTATCAAAGCATGAATACGCAAAGAAGAGCTTAGTTCAAATAAACCTCTGACTTTCTACTTTGCAGGCCACAAACTACAGTAGAAGGACAAATAAACTATTATGGAGGTTTGATTGCCTGCATACTTAAAGATGTACATGAATGCCAGGCTTTTAATGCCTTTTCTTTATCACTCTCAATAGTATGTTGTATTGGTACAGTGCTGCTTTTTTCATATCTTTCAGTTTTTACATTTGGAGGTTTAATAACGAGCAAACAGCAACAGGTACATTTTAATCAATAATCTCTTCCACGCAGATGGTTACAAATTATAGTTAATAAAACAAATGAATATATTCCCAGACAAGCACTCGGTGCAGGAACTAATAATTGGAAAGCTTCTGCACATAGTAGCAAAACAGTTATAATGCGAGTAACAGTTGTTTGTAGAACATATTAGTGTGATGTGGGTGCAAAACAAGTCATTTCATAAAACATTCTCTCTGATGTCTTGAAATGTATGTAAGTTGATATATAGGAGATGTGATGGAAAGAAGATTTGTTATAATCACCGGTAGACTGTTCAACAGTCTTGAGCTATTCTTTGTTATTCTTTATTCAATCATTAGACAATGAAAATGACTGAAAAAGTAGCCAATCTAGTGCTTATACCTGAATATTTTCAGTGGAAATCCTTTTATCTATGCACTAAACTCAAGCGATGAATCTATACATTACAGAAAGCTTAGCAAAGAATCGGTATTAAATTGTACCTTTAGGCACTGTGTCACTAGCAGCCTGTCACAACAACACATAACATGTTCCCATTTCTTTAGTTCAATGTACAAAAAGTACCAACAATAACACAGTTTGACAGCCAACAAGATGATTCCCGAAGAGCTATTAGCAGAAAACTTGTATCTCGACATGATGTTCTTAAATTTTTTTAGGAAACTCACAAGTGGAGGAGAAAAAAAAGAGACGGGTCTAAAAAAGGGATCTACAGGAAATGAACAGTATCCAAAAGTCAGTCATTCAGGACCCTTCAGCTGATCCATCTACTGTTTAAAAAAGTCGCATCAGAGATGGTCTCAGCAGAAGACATTATTAAGGAAGAGAACCAGAAAGAAAAGAATGAAGTATGCCAAACTACAGAAGAACGGACTGAAAATCAGTGGCAGTATGTTTTATGGAGTGATGGAGGACGGAGGGCAGGTCGTCTACTAAACTGAAAGTTGGTGGTTCGACCTCTGGCTGCTCCAGGCTGTATGCCAAATATAAATATCCATGGGCAAGCTACTAACTCCAAGTTGGTATCTAACCCCATGTGTGTGAATATCATGGTTTGGGGCTGCATTTTACCCAGGGATGTCTTGACAATGTTGATGGAATCATGAATACAGAAAAGTACCATCAGATCTTGGCAATGGGTTTCATTTTTCAGTGTGACAATGACCCCAAACACACTCTTAGTAAAAACATGTCTGGATAGAAAAACATACAATGGAACACTAGCAGTCATGGATTGGTCTCCCCAGAGCTTGGATCTCACTGACTAATTTAATATATTATTGAAAGACTATTACATCACGTAGTAGTATTCTACCTGTGGGTAGCTACCGTTAGTACTCTATACAACACCCAGCCACAATCTTAAAACACAGAAAACTGAAATAAGCTGCAGTGTTTATGGGAAACCTTGAGTCCTGATATTGACCCAAATGCTATTTTCAGTTCTACTACTACATACTAACCACTGAAACACTGACACAGAGAATACTAAAGATATTAACACTAAGATGTTTTGATAGGACACAATAACCAACCAAAACCGGCTTAAAGAAATGAGCATTAAGCAGTCTGGTAATCTACAGAGCAGTTTCAGGTGTGTGTCAGGACGATGTAAGATATTACTTCGTCCTGACACTTTTAAACTGAAACTTTTCATCTAAGAACAAAAAAGCAGCAAACTAATAAATATATTCTAGACCTTATTTTGTGAATGTTACCTCATTTTTCTGTTATAGATACATTTCCTTCGATCTCTGCTTCCCTGAAGCTTCCTTGCCACCTTTCTTCTTCCATCTTTGTTGTCCATGTCATTTATAGCACAATCTTTGAGGGGGGGAAAAAAAATCCCAATTTTTGTTACCAGGAAGCAAAACCTTTCAGAGCACTGCTCCCTGAATATTCCTGTCTGACACACTTTTGTTGGCAGAAACAAAGAACTGATTTCTCTCCCTTTCTGCACCTCCTCAAGGAGCAGATCATCACAATAGAAACTCAAAACAGGGAAGCTGATCAAAGAACACCATGACATGCAAGAATACCTGGTAGTCCCTATGTGTATGACCTGTAATTAGAACCATATTAGCCTTCCAGATCTCAATGAGTTCACACCAGTTTAGTTATTGGTCAAATTGTAAAACAACACTATAAACCAAGAAGCTATAATAATCATGCAGAAACACACACACACCTTGGCATCCAGCGCCAACTTACTGACTGCCAAAAGTAATGATATTAGAGTCAACAAGACAAATAGCACAGGGTAAGTTTCTATTTAGTTGTACAATCTTACTTAAGCGTCAAAATAATTAATTATTCCACAGCTCTGTAAACTCAAATTCTTGGCAAAGTTACCTTTTGTGCTTTTATCCACTAGACCAACTTTACTGAGGATTCAAGCTGTCTACTGCAGCACACAGGCTGTTCATTCATTGTCATCTGCATAGCACACAAAAGTCTATATTGAGCTGAGCCCTGAGCTCTCACAAAGCTCTGTCCTGTCTGAGATGGTGTTTGGGGTAAAACGTTGACAGACTTATTTGTGTAAGGCAATTTCATCTTGCATCTCCAGTCAACCAAAACAGTCACCCTGCTCCTCACACACACACAAAGAGAGGCACAAGTGAGGCCTACACTACGGAGGCAAATGAACTATTTATATTCAGATGGTCTTTGCTAAGCTTTAGGACACATGGATGTTATAACTTATTTATTCCACCCAGAGGAAAATGCCATTACTTGAGTGAGAGTGAGGCTGTGAATGGGACATGTAGTGGACAAAAAAAAGGACAGTAGAGCTTTCAACATACAGTGGATGGGAGCTTTGATTTGTTCTCTTTTTCTGTCTGTTCATCTTCCCTGGCCTAAGTAAAAGATCACTTAGCTGATTGTATATGTGCATGTCTTCTGACGACTTAGTTCTTTCCATCCATGACTTATTCATAAGCCTTAATGCAGTTGATGTTTTATTGATCACGACTGATCATTGCCTCCTTCTCTTTATGTGACCATGGCCAGCGGATAAGAGTAGAGCTGAAGGCTGAGAGGGCTGCTACAGAGCAGGCATGGTCTTCAGTGTAACGTGCTGGCTATGCTTCTGGGTGATGGATGGACAATAAGCATTGTGTGTGTGTGTGTGTGTGTGTGTGTGTGTGTGTGTGAGGGAGAAAGAGATACGGGTTTAGATAGGATTGATCGAGTAGGAAAAAGCTAATCTTACTAATGTTTCCTCTCTGAGTGACAAAGAAAAGTTTCACCAGTAGAACCAGAGTGACTCCATCGCTCACTAGAGAAAACTTCTGTCTCCCTGTGACAAAAACAGAGGGGGGGGCAAGCATGTGATGATCCCTATTACTTTGACTTTTGTCTCTTTTAATCTTTTTTTTTTGTTTTGGCCATAGCCTAGGGAGCTCTCTAGTAGATGGCGGAGGGAGGGGTCCTTGCCCTGATTAAGTTTGAATTCCCTGCTCTTGGCAGAGGAGCTGCGAGACTCCTAAGTCATCATCCGGAAAGAGTCCCATCCTGCTGTGGCAGCCTTGCCAGCTTGAGCCAGCCTCATTGCCATATGAATAATCATACTGTAGTAGCTTGGATATGCTGAATGGGGCCGAGGTGTGTGTGTGTGTGTAAATAGAGAGACAGAAAAGGGAGGAGCTGAAAAGCAAACTGCAGGTCGCTGATAGGGGAGTGAGGTTCTCCTTGATTAAGCAAAGAGGTTGAACGAGAGTAAGGCTATGTACATAGTCCTCATGACAATCATCCGGAGGGGGAAATAACTATTGCAATTTGCATTTCCAAACAGTGGTGATGCCATCTAAGCGTACCCCATCACATAAGATGGCTGAGCCCATTCCTCAAGCCCTGGGGGTCTATGAGGTTTGGTCTAATGAGAGAGGATCCTTAATGGTTATTGATAGAGCCCATGAGGACAGACTCTTACCCTTACTCTCCAGTCAAGCAGTGCACTCTGCTACTATTTAATGAAGTAAAATTCGCTGCTTCTGAAGGATGATTTAACACTAAAAACAGATTTCTGACAAGAGATGA